TGTAGCATCAGTGAAAACATAGATGTGGGAGGAGGCTGGGGCACCAGTGAGAGCCAGCTGGAGAAACAAAACCTGGTCAGTTCCCACATCACTACGGTCTCTCAGGGAACCATAAAAATATCCAATCAACAACCATGCTAGTTACAATGTGATAATATATTAGCTTTAGTACCTGAAGTCCTGACAGACACATCTCAGGGGTATCTCCCCCTCCCTGTGCTGTAAGTTCAGAGATTTCTTTTTTCATCTTATTGGGGTCTGTTGTCCTGATCGGCGGTCCAAAACCTACATAAAAACAAAAATGTACACTTTTAATCCTACAGAACCACTGTGACTGTATACAGATTTACAGTGTGCACCACAATTTATTTTAAAACAATCTATTTTAAAAGAGATTATTTACTAAAATATAACTAGTATTACAACTATACAGTCAAGCATTACATGTATAACATGCTATAGCATGGTTAGGGGTCTAATATTACTAATGGTTTCCTAAACATGATCAGAAGGGTAGAAGGGTTCATACTGGGGTCATTGAAGGGCACCAGGATGTACTCAGAGGGCTCATCCTGTGTTCCTTTTTTGCTGTCAATTATTTCGTAAACAACATCCCTGGCTTCATCAATGTCATCAGACATACTGCCAGTGGTGTCAATAACAAAGCACACGACCGATGAGCGAGCAATCCCCATCATTCTGTGAGAAAGAAAGACAGAATGTTTATTTTTATTGTATAATACAATTTTTAGTATGCTTTCTTTCATTAATGCACAAATAGATATTTTTCATATCTGACCGTCATACCTCAGAAAGTCATTGTCCCCAGCAGCTAACCGGATGTCCTCCAGTAGCTGGAGACTTGCAGTGGTGGCTGCATTCACAGCAGCATTGTGGAAGGCCACGTTGTCAGAGCGATGCTCATCTTTGTTGATGCCACCACGAGGAACTGTTGTGCTAGTCAGGTCAGCTGCACCTCCATGGCTACATTTACCTGGCACAGGACAGAAGGGACAGGTTGAACCATTTAATGTGGTGGACCTTGAAGCTGCATCTGCACACTCTGTAGTAGTAATTGTTGGCAGTGACTACAGGTGTCTCACCTTGCCTTGTGTTCCTTATGATTCTGAATTAATATGGGGTTATGTATCTGAATGTGGTTTGGAGATATATCTGTCACTGATACCTTTAGGCTTGGCGGAAGAGTAGATTCCCATGTAGCCTGATGTGAGCTTCTTCTCATTCAGGATGTTGGGGAGAATGGAATTGGGACATGTTCCACTGGCACAGTCCCTGCAGGTGGCAGTGTTGACATCTACGCAAGTATAGTGCGAGCAAGATACAGGATAAAAAATACATTTGACTCCAGACCAAGGTAAGTAGGCATTGCTTTACTTCATAACTTGACAGCTGCTGTTTGTGATTATATCTTAAGATAATCCACAAAAACCTGTGTGGTTGGTTGTGCTTTATTTTTCATAACCAAATGGTTTGGCGTGGATTATTCCACGTATACTCTTGTCAACACTGAAATATGTGTAAAGTTAACCTTGAAATAATTTTTACGAATACAACAATTAGAAAATCAAGTAGCAATGTACTAGTTCCAGCCAGTAATTTAGTTTAATTGTTATTAACTAATAGCAGTGGTTTGAAAATGATGCATACCCAACCAGCCAATCAGAATGGAGCAGTCTCCATGGCCATGGCATAAAGACAAAACAGCACACTCTGCTCTTTGGTCTATACATATTACCAGATGTTTTACCAAACTACAATGAATGAATATTATCTACTTTATGACATTATACTCAACCCACAGAAATATAAACATAGTCCTCCAATGGAGATGACAAATACACTAATGCTCATACACACACCTGCCAGGTTTTCCAGTGGCTGATCTGGGCGAATGAGGTTGATGTATGGCTCTGTGTATCCCAGCTCCACCCAGTTACTGTGGCTGTAGAAGTCCTGACAACACATGAAAACACACACACATCCACACCTTTATACATACACATATGCAGATTTCATATTCAGTAAACACAATAAAGTGAATGTTTAAATCTTTTTGTAATGTTATTGGGATAATATTGAGAGTAATCTGTGTGGCTGTAGTGCCACCATTTGGACGTTTGTGGTATGACAGTCTTGTTGAGTCTGTTCCCAGTCTCCGCGCATAGTCTGTCTGTACTATTCATTCCCACATTGAGATATTATAATTTGGCAATGTGAATGGGATTCAAGGGAAGAAATAAGGATTGCATGTCCCTGTAGACGTGAGACATAAAATTTTCAGCTGGCAGATCACACGGAAGGACGTTTGTAGCACTACAAAAGTAGCTAACAAAATAAGCTAATAAGCTAAAGTGACTGCTAAGTTAGCAAGACCGCGAAGGCAGCAATGGTGCTCCAGATCGGTAGCATATCTGAATACATGGAAGGTAAGGAAGATTTAGAATCTTAACTAGAGTCTGGAACAATGGATAATGGCTAATGATGTGGAGACAGACAAAAAAGTCAGTGTGCTCCTCTCAGTCGTTGGAGCAGATGCCTACAGTCGTTTGAAAAATATAGACATGCCAGCTAAACCAAGTGAGAAAAGTTATGAAGAGCTGACCAAGACACTTAGCGACCACTACAAGCCAAAACCACTTGCCATTGTGGAAAACTTAACTCACTGTGATTTTGGTCAACACCTCGATGAAGCTCTATTTGACCATTTTGTGAGTAGATTGAGAGCTGAGGCAATACAGAGTTAATTGCTGGCAGAGACAAATATAACATTGTGTTCATTGAGTCCATGTAACACTGCACTATCCATGGAGATGGCATATCTCTATGGAATGCCAAAACATCATTTTGACATCCTCATTAATATGTCAAATTAGCACGTCTTAAGATGTCAAAAAATGTTGTCTCAACACATCAGTTATGTCCTCTGTCATCTCTCATGTGCTGGAGAACTGGGAGGAAAAGCCCATGGCATTTGCGTCTTGCACTTTGACAGAGGCTGAAAGCACATATGATACATATGATACACTGAAATAGCGAAGGAAGCCCTCTATCATTTGACAGAATGAAAAAGTTCCACAAATATCTCTACGGTAGGAAGTTTACTCTCTTTACCAATCACCAACCAGTCTTTGCAATCCTGGGGCCCAAGTCAGCTATTCCCACATTGGCAAGAGGCTATGTGTGGTGGCATTATCTGGAAAGGGATATTGAAGCGGCAGTACTGAAATACGGTGAGCCAACTCCCAATGTTGGCCCTTCTGCATTGTTGGAAATGTCCAACACAAGTGTGGCAACGGATACACAGAAGGACAAACATCACTTCCTAGTATTAGTTCACTCAAAATGGCTAGAGGTAGTTCACACGGCAACCACAAACTCAGCAAAGACTATTGAAGTATTGCACAGCATTTTTGGTTCTTATGGAGTTACTCGAAGAAGTGGTTCCTGACTACAGTTTCTGAGGACATAAAACTGACCCTGGTACCGGCTTATCCTCTAATGGTGCCACTGAAAGGTCGGTGTATACAGCCAGATTTGGAAGACAGGGAGGCTCAGCTGACTACTGTATCACTCCCACATCAAGATGTTACACTTTCCTTTCATTTAGTCTCTATTGCCACTTATTCTGCCTCCTTTAGCCTTCATCATTCTGTCTTCCAGTCTGTGCCTGATGGTTATTCCACTTTCTTTCTAATTTTTCATCTAAACTTCTCTATGCCTAGTTGCTCTCTCACCTGTAGTGTATGAAGAACTCTGCCCAGTGTTTCTCTGGCAGCCTGGAAGTTCTCCTTGCGAATGTTAGCCTTAATGGCCACCATTCCCTCCGTGATTAGGCCACGTCCCTGCAGGAATGCCTCTGAGTTGAAGTGGTGTGGAGCACTGAAACAATTTTTCAAGAGTAGTAACTTAGTAAGTGTATGGGCAAATCATAAAATTATTAAATCTTTGCAACACACTCTGTAAAATTGTTTTATTTTATTTTGTTTTATTTCAATCTTTCTCCCACCTGTTGACAAAGTCACGGTCTACCAGTCCATTCTGGTTGTAGATTTCTTGAAGAGCAGAGTGAAACTTGGCACCTGACACTTCTCCTTTTGCTGTGGGTCCAAGACAAGCCTGAACCAACTCCTCAGGAGAGGAACCCTGGAGACAGAAGAGACTTTTTCTTTACCTTAACAATGGAGCCAATTGTTTCACAGAGTATGGTATGAAAATGCCAATTAGCCTAATGAACGGTTGTACAAAAATCTCAAAATGAGTGTGTAATTCTAAGTGTGTGTGTTTCTGCATGTTGTGTGACTAGGCTTGTGCTGTCTTGTACATTTATTTTCCAACCTACCGTGGTTTTGAACACATGACGAGCTTCCTCAGCCACTGCCCGACATGTCTCTTTCACTTTTTGCAATAGGGCTTTTCGAGTAATGTTGACATGAGTGGACGCCCCATCCCCGACGGGGACAAAGGCCACGGTGGGCCCTGCCATCAGGGCCAAGCCCAGCAGTGCCATTCCCAACACTGAAGTCATGATTAATCTACAGGGGGAAAAAGGACTCATTATCAGTTATCAGGTTGGTTAACTGACAAATACTTGGAAAGGATTTTCTATGTTCACCAGCTAGAAGCTAATTTAAAGGTTCTGTAAACGAGATTTTAAACAATAATAGCGCAGCAAACAATTATTTTCAATGTAAGGATATAGTGGCATAATGGAGTCCTGAGCAGAGAATGAAGTCACACACCTGTATGTGTTATAATCTGATTTTATCTGTTCTTTTTGATAGCCAGTGTGGCAGCACATGCATGTTAGTGCTTGTGAGTTCCTCCTGTTAAACCCTTGGCCCTCCCCACGTTTATAAACACACAAGGACTGTACGCAACGTCTTGTTGCTGTGGAGTATATCACAGCAATGCCAGTTTGGGCTAATGGTTGTGGCTGGATTGTTTATTGTTGGCTCCCATGCTCGTACACAGGCTAACTTTATTAAGTTGTGCTGGTTGTTGTGTGTTTAGTGGGTGCTTTCACTGGGCTTCATAATACCTCGCTGACTGAGAATGTGAAGGGGGTGGGGGGGTGGGGGGGGGCTGATGAAGCATTTGCTCTGGTCTGAGATGTACAGATACAGATACAGATATACGGCAAGACTGTTGAACTTACACACAGTGACAGGAAATCATGGATGCACAGACTACACAATGGGTTTTTAAATTCTAATGTTTACCATACAAGTTAAAATGACACACATCAGTAAGTTTACATCCACAATGACATTATAACTGAGTGCTGTATACTGTGTTAATTCAATAGAACGATATTTGTATTATTCTTTCATATCAATTTAACAGTATTGTTTTTGATCTTGCAAAATCTTTAGCCTCCCCTGTATATGCCAGCAGGCATATTGATGGGAATAAGTGCTTTGAGTAGCGTTCACCAGCAGATGGTGGCAAAGACATTTGTAACCATGAAGCAAAACACAGTTTTCTCTTCACACTTTGCTCTAATAGATACAGTGCACTACTTGACTGTTGCTGTTCTAACTGAAAGCAGATCAGGAGTGTTTGGTTAATGACAGAGTGGATGTCAGTGTCTGTATATAGACTGCGCTTTGTTGATGCAGTGTCTCATCATGGAAGAAATGATTAGGGCTGCAGATGATTAAAGGATTGTAAAGAAAACAAATATATCTATTCTGAACCTGAAATGTTCATTATAACAGATTTTTCCTATTTTCATGTGAAATACTGTATAGTGTTGCCTCTTTGGGCCCCTTAATTGCATTCATATGAAATGTATTCAAATAAAACATGAGAAAGGAAAGTCCTATGCAAATTGTGATAAGGGGACACAAGTACACAGCGCTTTTGTTAAGTGATCACAAGCTAGAAACATTAAGAACCACTGCTGAAGATTGAGTGTTTGTGCCCTACTGGCCACCAGAGAGCAGTATAGCACTGATTGCATAAACAGAGGTGAAATTACAAGGTAGGATTGTGCTTTTCAGTTCCTGTAATCCAGGAGCACTTTAAACCTGAACTGCTGTATGTCTGACCACCTTTCTGAGGGATTGGATTTGATCATATCTGATATCCATTTTGATTGACTGTCTCATCGCCATCACCGCAATTGTCTGGTTTCATCCCACGCAATTGGACTCACACACACACACACACACACACAGGCTGAGGTGTAATGTAGGCCACAGAAACATGGGATTACCATAGAGGTAGTTGTAATTTAGAGAGAATATTAGAGAGTGAAGATCCAGAATATAAAGACAGCACAGGATCACTAACAGGTCACACTGATATATAAAGTTCCACTTTTCCTCTCAATCATTCAGTTCCACTAGATTATCTTTCTCTCTCCATTTGTTGCAGTCTATTTTAAGGAGAAGATCTAAAGAAAACATTAATGATTCTACAGAGGGTCTTGCTTTTATTTTTAGAAAAGTAAAAGATAAGATTCAGCCTCCATTTCCCCTGTCCATTCCCCCTGGCAAGCATCTGAGAGAAGGCTAACAAACCTATGCTACCTAAGTAAACTCACATGTTGTAGTTAAAAAAAACACCCCAAAAAGGGCGCCTCAGTGGCTCACCTGGTAGAGCATGTACCATATAGGCTTAGTCCTAGCCACAGTGGGCCCATCCATTGCTGCATTTCATCCCCTCTCTCTCTCCCTGACTTTCCTGTCCATGTCATGGAAGCTCAAGTTCCACCCTATATATATGTATATATATATATATATATATATATATATATATATTCCCCCCTATACATATATATATATATATATATGTGTGTGTGTGTGTTTGTGTGTGTGTGTGTGTGCATGTAAAAAAAATTATCTAAACATAAAAGGTAAAAGCCTGCTTGATGATGAAAATAACTGTCTTCATATTAAATGCATGATACAAGATCACTTAAAGCTGGAAAAAATATTAAATCAACTTGTTTCTGTAAATGTCAGTATTGTACTCACCCTAGGGTTCCTAGATGGGACCAGCAGTTGTTTTGGCTTCAGGTGGTGAAGAAATTCTGATAGAAAAGATGTTGTTTTCTCTCAGATTATACAAGTGGTCGAGGATGGTTTCAGGAGCTGACACTCCTTCAACTAGTTCATTCCTTCTTTTCTTATAAAGCACCTGGGGGCAAGATTTGCTCTTTGTGTACCACTGTGTATTTGTCAATGCTGGGAAGATTGCTTTACTACCTTGTTACAGCACATTCAGCAGCGTGTGAATTTGTTCGCTGCTGTAACTGATGGTTACTGACTAAAGGAAGTGAGAGTGAATGTAAATTTCAACACTGAAATCTGGGACAAACAATTATACAGGACTATATGTCATTGTAAGTGGATATTAAGGATACTGGCAAACCTTCTACGACTGCTGTACATATTGTAGCGTTCCACATATTGATTCATGAGTCTCCCAAGCATCATTAGTTATGGGTAGATTTCATCTTCTGATCATTGAGAACTGATTTCTGACAACTTTATCAGAATGTCAGCATGGACATTGAAGACTGAAGCGTAAAGAACATTGTCTGCAGAACACAAGTAAAACTTTAAAAAAGTTGAGCTGAGTTGGAAGAGTAAATCGGTGTAACTTTTGCTGAACGGTTACATTTTGCAGTAACTTGTTGGTAGTTCAGAAATGAATCATTGCTTCTCTACTGTAAATGACCAGCCCCAACCACTGTGAAGACATGCCCAGGCAATGCATTCATCAGGCATCCACCACCACCGCACACTTGACCTTTGTGTACTGCATGTGCAAAAGGATGGGCGTTACTCAGTGTTCACACTGTAACAATATCATCACTGATAAACCTCCCAAATCTCAGCCTGAGGAAGAATCACCATGGCCAAATTTAGGCAATTATGGTATACAAAACCAAAGCTGACAGTCCTTGCACTTATAGTGAGAAATTATATTTTTTGGTTTAGATATGACCTGTGAACAATAGGCACTTTTTGCAGTAAATGGCATTTGCATTTTTTGCTGGCATGTGACTTTTTTATATAATATTTTGTTATAATTTCATATCACATGTACATTTTTTTTGCAAAGTAGTTTTCACTCCTTTTTCCAATTTAACCAAATTAGATTTCCTATGGTAGTTTTGCTGCAGTTCAACTTGTTCCAGTGTAAGGTATTTGGTAGCTTGCAAAGATATCCTTTCAAAGTAGCTCTCCCAACACTGATGCTAAATGTGTAACATCAGCGCGAGTAGAGAGGAGTCATAAAGTCAGCAAACTGACTATCAATATCTAGTTTGCCAACATTAACAAGCCCACCATAGTTTCCACTAGGGCTGCTTGATTATGGCAAAAATAATAATCACGACTATTTTGATCAATATTGAGGTCATGATTATTGGACTTTGGAAAATAAACAGAATATAAAAAAAGTTATTTCAAAACAAAAGCGTTGTGTCTATGTAGTTATTTCCGTTATACACGAAATAAGTAAAAGATATCTGAGCATGGGATACCCCAGCCACCACCACCACCACCACCAACCTGAAATTGAATTTTGAAAAAGGCAGTTCCGATTATCATCATTAATCTATTTTCGTATTATCTAGTTAAGTCTGTTAACTCGGGCTCCAGGCTGCAGCATACAAACCACACCTGACGCATCAGAGCAGGGTGTGTGTGTGTGTGTGTGTGTGTGTGTGTGTGTGTGTGTGTGTGTGTGTGTGTGTGTGTGTGTGTGTGTGTGTGTGTGTGTGTGTGTAGTGCACGGTGCTCCAAGGTGTGTGAGAGCACTTATCTTAGTGGTAATATATATATTAGTGGTAATAACATTAACAATGGCTCCTTGTATCCCAGTAAGCCGTAGAGTTGGGAGGTGGAAGAAGCTGCTGGTTTCAGAATGTTTTGCAAGGCTCACCTTCAGTATATCTGTCATTATGAATCACACAACTGCATGCTCTTGGCCTGTCAGTCATTCTCAGATGGTAGCAAAGCAGTTATTAAGTGACTTACTAAATAATAAAGAGAAAGTTAAATGTTAATGAAAAACCAATATATTTCGATTGCAACTTGAATAATGCAGTCGTTTATGATATTAGAATACATCATATGAGAACTAAAGAGGCAGTCCTGAAAGTGGGATCTCCATGGATTCTGCTTCAGGGATGAGTTTTTTTTTACTTTTACTTTCACTTACAGACCACATCTCACACAGACACTTCTTGTTCATCCGGTTATCTGTTTTCTTCGAACCTTCGTGTTGGCTCTTGTTTTGCTGTTTTTGTTAATTTACTGAACTAACAGTTCTGCCCCACCTTTTTTATTTCGAGTAATGCAAATCTAAATGCAAATTCTACATCTCATATGGGAAAAACATTTCAGACGGGCGTCCTTGACCCCGAGCAGGAGTAAGTAAAAGTAAAAGTTATATTAAATGCTAAACGTTAGGTGTATGAATGATATTTGACAGTAGCTGTGTGAGTGTCTGTGATTTTAGTCTTACCTTTGCTGCAGCAAATTCTTTACCCTTTTTTTTCCAATGCCTTTCTTTCAAGGAATTGTGAGGCATGCAACCTTGATGCATGCAGTGAGTTCAATACATTTCAGTTAATTCATTTCAATTCATTCATTTATCAATTCATTCAAAAAATCTGCTGCATCAAGTCATCTGTTACTCAGTTGCTCTTTCATTTGCTGTTTTTTTCTTTCTCTCTCCATCCATTGTTTTATGTGTGACGCTTTTTCTTCACCTCTGCCGTATGTTCATCCTGAATTCTCCAGGGTTCCATCAAGAGGAAGATCAAGTCATTGAGGCGATGGAGTTCAGCAAGTATGAAGAGGCCTCCAAAGCCAAAGGCCAAGACCTTAAGTCTGTGCTCCCCTGTGGGCGACCCCGATGATCTGTGGCTGCAAGAAGGAGACAGGAGGAAGCTGCAGCCAACAAATACAGCTAGCCAAACTGCTTGTCAGTAAGTAAGTGAATGAATGAGTGAATGACCATGCTGAATCTGTCTGAGAGCATCTCACTGCCGAAGTGAGTATGAACAGCTATGAGCACATCTGAGGAAATGGGACTGTTTGTTGGCCTGTGAACAGAACTTGGCAAGATATCAAACCTTTGCTTGATTTAAAAGGGCCCTGTGGAGTCGTTGACTGCTAGTAGTGATATGGAGCCATGTTATGATGAGTTTTGTTTTGTCTTTATTTGTACTGGCTCACACAAGATGCACAAGCATGCATTCATGTTTCATGCTGTTCCACTGCGTGACAGTTGGCGACAGTTGGCAGCGTGCCAGGAAAGGAAGGAGAAAAAGACTGCAAGCTAGCAAACACAGAAGTAAACAATGCAGGTTTCATGATATTCAAAAAAGAGGTTTTGCTTGATAGAGGAAATGCACGCAATGGGCCTCATGCAAGAACATTTTCACTTACTTTACATACAACAGACTTCAGAGAAAAAAATTCTAATTCATAGTAAGTGATCGCAATCTGCTCCAAAATTGAATGGGTTCTTCACTGGCCAATGTCCCATCCTTCCACCAAGTTTCCACCATCATTTTGCGCTTTTTGCAAAATCCTTCTGACAAACAGACACAGGTGAAAACATTACCTCTTTGGCAGTCGTAATGAGTCACTTGTAAAAAGCATTTCATTAGCTAGCTAGCTACATCTAATCAAATTTGACAATGACGAACCCAACAGGTAACAAACACAGAGAGGAGTGTGACGTTCCCTGGTCCTGCAGAATTGTCATCTCAATTAAACTGTATTTTTAACAGTGACAAAATAAAACTTGTAGAAAGAAAATCTGTGATATGACTATAGTTAGGCTTTAAACTGCTGCTTGCATTTGCACTAGGAGCTTTCTTCTTGCTTTGTGAGATTATCTAAGCTGCATTAGCGGTCTTTGTATTCTGGGAACCAGCGTCTGCATCCAACTAAGAGTTTGGCTGCCTGCTCTTTGACAAGTTTTGACAGGCTATTTAGACACATAACAACTGCAAAGCTGTCTGATCAGTAGTATTACAGTGTCTAACCCTATGTACCAAAAGAGTCAAAGAGAGATGAGGACAATTGTGTAGACAACTTTAAATAATTACAGTTGTCCACACAATTTTTTGTTATTCTCAGTGTGATTTGTTGATGCCAAAAGGGTACATGAAGAATAATATCATAAATAATCATGCCAATAATTAAGTCTAGTTTTAAAAAAATCCAGTCCAAAAATATTTTATAACTGAATACTGTGAAATCTCTCGATCCAAGGGAATGTGTGGCTATCAAAAGCTGTGGGATACTCTGAATAGACTTGTGTAACAAGGTCATACCTATAAAAGACCTATAAAAGACATTATTTTATTTAAAAAAGCCAACTCAACTGAATATGTTACAAGGAAAACAGTTATCATTTAGAGACTAGTCCAGAGAGAATTTATTGCCATGCATCACAGCCAAAACGATCCACAAAATTAGCTGTTATGTTTCTGAAAATCTTTTGTTTTTTTTAAATCTCCAATATAGCACTTAAAGTGGATCAGAACCTTCTCATTTGGGAGAAGTAGAAACAAGTACTTGCACAGAATCTGAGTGATATACTACTATTGACGGAGTCATCCACAAACACATGTTTTAGCCACTTTAAAGAAATGTCCTACAAAAAATGCCATTATCAGTTTAAGTGAACACTATATTTTTTATATTTTCGCTGCTTTATCTTGCTGTCAAACAGTATTTTCATTTGGAACTACATTTTTTCAACTGTTGAACTACAGTATTACTATGCACAAGAGCACTGAACACACCAAGCCCTGCCTGCTTGGTTCTTGGAAGGCCTCATACTACAAACTTAGCTTCTGTACTCTACCCCTGGAACTGGCTCAAGGCCACCAGACCTGGCTAGCCCTGGTTCTGAGCTGTTCTGTTCTCTACAACAACAAGAAGATGGAGGGAAATGCATGTATTAACTGATACAACTGTCAGTGCAGCAAGGAAATATTCAGGTCTCACGAGCACTAACGGAGATACAAAACATGAATGACCTGTGATGACCTCCTAAAATGGTGATCTATATCATAATGTTACCTAATCTACATTCATCAGTGGAACTGTAGAAGTTTCATTGCAAATGTGCAAGAGTTTCAAAAGTACGTTGATGAACTAGATGTTTTACCTGATGCAATGAATGTTGAAGAAACCTACTAAAACCACACTTAGACTTTATAATACCAGAAGATACTTCAGTGAGATGTGACAGAAACAAGGTGGGGGGTGTGCAGTATTCAGTAAGGAAGGCCTGGTATTCAAGAAACTTGTCCATATGAATACAAAGTTATTGAGCTTTGCATTTTCGGTAGAACTTGGGTTAACTTTTATAATCCATGCCAGTTACTAAATTCGGGAAAAGATTTGTTCCAAAAGATCTGGAGTGAGGAAAACTTCCTAGTGGATGAGAAAGTGCTCTGATACTTTCCTACCTCCCAACACTGAGTAACAGAAAGAAAATTGTCTTTCTTAGTTCTCCAGTAAGCCCAAAACAATTTAAAATTCTGTTATCTGTCATCAGAGACAATGACTAACATCACTTGCAATGTTAAAATTTGGAAGTGGAATGAGACAACTTTTAAAATTCATTCCATGTAAGATGTGTATAAAAGTGGAACGCCTTACCCGAAAGCACAAACCAGAGTTCAACAGCCCTGAGATCTGGTCTGGAGAGCAGTGGTTATATATATGAATATATTATATGGGAAGGGTGGCAACCCTAGCCACTCCGTTTGAAGTCCTGTTTGAGTTTTTTTACTTTCTCCCAGACCTGTTTCGTGGTGTTGAAAATGTGTTTGCTCGCTCGGTGCTCACTCACTCACTGCAGACTTTTAAACATGGCGGGTGAAATAAAATACAGCGAGTACTCGACCAGTCAGAAATGTTCAGCAAAAGGGGTCTGCATTTTGTGTCCTTAAATGTGGCCCCTGAAAGATGCAGCTCCTGAACTGTGACACAGTTTATACAACATTGGTATTAATTATCAGACGTTAACAAATGCACACGTCATTAAATACATCAGTGCAAATGACACCATTTGAAATGAAATCTAAAAATACACTTTTTTGGTCAACATACAGGCTTGCCAACACATGCCAATCTCTCAAATCTCATGCCAAAGAACAGAATCTTCAAAGCCACTCACTATGCAAATTATTGTTAGTTTCCTTTATCATCTCAGATTAAAACCTATAATTCATATTTCTCAGAATATGTTCATCTTTAACCCAAACATGATTTCTTTTGCCAAAACTGAAAAATGTGACAAAAAATGTTCAAACATTAAGTACAATTGAATTTTTATTTTAAACATTTTATTTCAGACAATTTAAGTATATATTCATCATCCATTGTTTAATCAGTGCTCACACTGTGAGCAGGATATATGGGATATTTGGACATCACCAGTAAAATGTTTCAGTCCATCATGGTAGCAAATTGTTTTGAGTAATTTAAAATCATCAACAGTGTCCAATACCTGATGCAGCATACAGAAATAAGACACAACCTAAACTAAGCCCTTCAAGGTCTGATTACAAAAGCAGACACCAACAGGCACAACCACAGTGGCAATGACAGAGTTAAAGCAGGAGGGCCATCCGAACGAACAATTGATTGGTAGCATTTTCCCACATTGCCAACTTTATCTACAGCTATGATCTCCACAATCTGCGAGCAGCAGGAGGCGTTGTAGTTCGCCTGGACAACAGGAGCACTCAGAGAGGTGTATGAGAGGGATCCATTACCCTGTTGCAGGGAGATTCTCTCGATCCCAGTGCCGTTTCCATCAGTAAGGTTGGCCGAGAGCTCCCACTTGAAAGGTCCACACTGAGAAACATCCTGAGGGCAATCATCAGCCTGCACACTAACCACTTCACACAAAGGCTGATCAAAATCTGTTATCTGAAAAGAGAACAGAAAAAGGAAGGTGAGGAATTTATGTGTTCTGTGCATGTGTTCGTTGGCTTTGTCCAAAAGCTTTTGTATTTATTTATTTCACTCTTTCCAACTATGTGTGATCCAGGATGTGTCTGAATACCTTGGTGACAACAGACAATCTCAACACGACGTAATTGGAGTCAACACCACTGGACAACTTGGCATGCACAGTCAGAGTGATATCAGTGCCTGATGGTGTGTTGGCAGGTGCCGTAATGGTCAACGTATCATTAGTATATCTTCCAGTTGTCAAGGTGAGGCTGTCAAGAGAAGACAGAAAAATACCTTTCTTGGTTATAGGAAGTGTAATTGTGTACAATCTATGCACTTGATTTTTATTGAAATTTAAAGATGCGACTTGCGGTTAACTCCTCCTTGAACCGTCACCTTACCGTGGTGGAGGAGTTTGAGAGCCCTAATGACCCTAGGAGCTATGTTGTCGGGGGCATTTTGCCCCTGGTAGGGTCTCCCAAGGCAGATTGGTCCCAGGTGAAGGGCCAGACGAAGAACGGTTCAGAAGATCCTAATGATGAGAAATATCAAGAACCCGAGTACCCGGCCCGGAGGGACACCGGGGCCCCGCCCTGGAGCCAGGCCTGGGGTTGGGGCCCGTGGGCGAGCGCCTGGTGGCCGGGCCCAGCCCGAACCAGCTACATGGGTTCGTCTCCCAGTGGGCTCACCACCTGCAGGAGGATTCAGCGGGATCCAGTGCAGTGTGGATTGGGCAGCAGACCAAGGCGGGGCCCTTGGTGGTCCGATCCTCGGTTACGGAAACTGGTTTTTGGAACATGGAATGTCACCTCTCTGGCGGGGAAGGAGCGGGAGCTTGTGGAAGAGGTTGAGGGATACCGACTAGATATAGTCGGCCTCACCTCAACACATAGCGTTGGCTCCGGAACCCAAGTCCTTGAGAGGGGCTGGTCTCTCCTCTTTGCTGGAGTTGCTCCGGGTGAGAGGCGGAGGGCCGGGGTGGGCTTTTTGGTGTCCCCCAGGCTCTCTGCCTGTATGTTGGAGTTTACCTCAGTGGACGAAAGGGTTGTGTCCCTGCGCCTCCGGGTCGGGGATCGGGTTCTGACTGTTGTCGGTGCTTATGCGCCGAACAGCAGTTCAGACTACCCACCTTTTTTGGAGTCCTTGGGATGGGTGCTGGAAAGTGCCCCGAAAGGGGACTCCATTGTCCTATTGGGAGACTTCAACGCTCACGTGGGCAATGACAGCGTGACCTGGAAGGGTGTGGTGGGGAGGAACGGCCTGCCCGATCTGAACCCGAGCGGCGCTCAGTTATTGGACTTCTGTGCTAGTCACAGCTTGGCCATAACTAACACCATGTTCAAACATAAGGATGTCCACAGGTGCACTTGGCACCAGGATACCCTAGGTCGCTGGTCTATGATTGACTTTGTAGCCGCATCTGACCAGGCTGGGACTGGACCAGATGGTCAAATGCGTACATGAACTGATGAAGCCTCTTGGATGAGAGGTGAAACGTCTTCCCAGACAAATAATCAAGTCCAGTTGTTTTTTCGATTTAAACTCCTTTAGGATACTATGACCTGGACAAATGAGAATATGCACAGGCCAGAAGGCGAAGCTCTCGATTTTCCGGTCGATCTACGTTCCGATCCTCACCTATGGTCATGAGCTTTGGGTAATGACCGAAAGAACGAGATCGCGAATACAAGCGGCCGAAATGAGTTTCGGGTGGCTGGGCTCAGCCTTAGAGATAGGGTGAGGAGCTCGGTCATCCGGGAGGGACTTGGAGTAAAGCCGCTGCTCCTCCATGTCGAGAGGAGCCAGTTGAGGTGGTTCGGGCATCTGGTGAGGATGCCTCCTGGACGCCTCCCCGGGGAGGTGTTTCGGGCATGTCCCACCGGGAGGAGGCCTCGGGGCCGACCAAGGACACGCTGGAGGGATTATATCTCTCGGCCGGCCTTGGAACGCCTCGGGATTCTCCCGGAGGAGCTGGTGGAAGTGGCTGGGGAGAGGGCTGTCTGGACCTCTTTGCTGAGGCTGCTGCCCCCGCGACCCGGATCCGGATAAGCGGGAGATGACGAACGAATGAACGACTTGCGGTTAAGTAATCTGTTTGGGTGGAGTAATAACATGTGACTCACACGAATGTTTACTCCAAATCGTTACTTTGCCGCAACACACAAGTGTTTTTTCTAGTTTCAGACCAACGCAGTTGTAATTTCCCCATCAAGTGCCCACATTGCATACCAATTGCACCCATGTGAGTGCCCATGGGCGTGTTGGGCTTAACATGAGGTGTGGTCAGGTGCATTGTTATCATCTTGAGGCAGTGGAAAGCAATTGCGATATTGACCAACAAAAACCTGGTCTAAAGTCAATGGCACAGTATCTTTTCCACAACCTACCTTCTATGAGAAAGGGAGTAGCATTTTCCCAAAATGTTTACGTATCATTTCAGTGTTGACAAGGACATTTAAAAAAGGAGTTCTTTTTAGTTTCCTCTCCTCACCTGCTTGAGTAGGACATGGAGAAGTTTCTGTCATTTCTGGCACTGATTTCAAACTGACCACCAGAGCCCTGGGTCATTACACTGAAGGGGAGCTTAAAGGTTTCTCCTGGCTCCACACTGCTGTCCACCACAGCCTGGAGGGAAAATGGAAGATCAAGGGAAAAGGGCAGGTTAAGAAGAACAATGTCATTCTTGTAGTTTATATTTATATCATTTTTTAGATACTGTAAGCCTATTATTTTGCTACCCCCATCTTTTCTGTAAGTGATCATCAAACAGAGGCTGCATGAATGGGTAGACAGATTGTGAGGAGGACGTGAAGAGACTGACCTGGATGTTCACTTTGGAGACAGACATCTGGGTGGTAGACTGCCTCTGAAATTCAGAGTTTGACACTTTGTCTGTTCCTTTCAGAAAGACCACAGACTCCCCCTCAGGGACCATGTCAACAGTCACCAGGATGTCTCCGCTACCCATGTCAGTCATCGTACCATTGCTCACAACCTCAGGACCAGACACAGTTACTAGGCCAATGTTTCCAACACTCACTGATGATGGACCTTTCCTTCCCATTACTGAGAGCATCAAGGTGGCAGGCTGGCCTGGTTTCCAGAGGAGAGAAGGAAAGTAGAGAGAGGAATGAGAGGAAAATTCATTTTTGTGGGTAAAAGTGGTTGATTGTTTCAAGAGTAAACCCTAGATTATTTTTAGCATGGGTTGTGGAGAAAAGCCTCGATTTTCACATCCTTTTCATGGGCTGAAATGTGTGATCGATAGGTTGTCATATGCAGCTGTCACTTTGGTGCCCTAATTACTTTTCACCACTAGATAACGATGTTACAGCCTAAGATAACACATGCTCAGCAATTAACTACATACTGACTAATACATATGTATATTTTAGAGCTATCACATGATAATTCATGGACAACACATTTGATATTATGGGTGTGAAACTATCAGAACATGCTCTATGATTGGAAAAAATGCCCACAATGTACAAATATATTACTGTTGTGAAACAATGAAATTAATTTATTACGTATGTTACCTGCTTGTGGACGCCCACTGAGTACTGCAAAACCTGGGTGAGGTCCCTTGAAGCTTTCCACAAAGTTATAGATAAACGTAATGGTACTCTGGCCTGGAAACACAAGCACACACTTACAGTAAATACACACTAAGAACTCAGTGAACCTAACAACTTTGATAGAAGGAGCATCAGTCTTCAAACTTTGCATGGACTGAAAGCAGAGGGAATACATATGCTACTGATAAGAAACACTTTGATCAGCAGATCAATCTGTGGGCAAGAAGACAAAATTTCAACAGCATGTCTGAACAGGAAGTGCAAGTGTAATTAACAAATATACAGTGTCTTACCTGTGACTTTGAGTGTGTATGGTTGGTTGGAGTTAATGGTGATCTGCCATCTTCCTGTCTGCTTGTCAGCGTTGAGACGAATTCTTCTCAGGTTGCCCACTGTCCGAATGGTCCCCAGTTTACCACTGGCCTCAGTGTTGCTCTGACTCACACCTGAAAATGTTTACCATGTATTATTCACCATGAATACTTAGTCCAAGTTAGGGGTGGGCGATATGGCAAAAATATCATATCACGATTTTTTAAAAATAAAATCACGATTTCGATTTTATCACGATCTTAAATTGGAAAAAGAAAAACAGACAATTTAGACCAAAGAACCTTTCTTAACAGATTTTATTTCAAATAGTCGCAGTTTTGCCTGCATGTGCAGACAACGTAAAGTTTAAGGTAAACAACAACAACATTCTGGTTCGTCATGTTACCACCCGACGTGCGAACGGTTTCTGTGCAAACTTTGCAAATTACATTTGCTTGCGCTTGATCAGTTGCGGAAAATCCAAACCAATTCCATATAATGGAGGTGGAATTTTTTTTAACGACCAACTCCGTTTGGCTTTCAGCCATCACTCTCCATGTGCTACCGCTACACACACATAAACAAGGAGGCGGGTAGGAAAGCGCGTCACTGCCCGTAATTCGCTATGATTGGTCGGTCAGGTTGACGACGTCAATACGTCTGGTGCGTCGGTGCATCAGAATAGAACTGCAATTTATAGAATGTGCCCTAGACGATCCCACGATCTCTGCAGTTTGAAAGATCGTCTTCACGTTGTAATCCTTCACGATCTAATATCGTCATATCGCCCACCGCTAGTCCAAGTCTATCATAACAATGTTCTTAGCAAGACAGATGGACATCCAACAAGTCTCATACACATGAGTTACAACTGGTGGAAACATTGCATTGAGACTGGCGAGCTACCTGCAGGGTTGGTCAGTGTGAAAGTAATGGATGTTCCTGTGATGTAGATGGTGATGTTTTGAAGAGATTCATCCAGTACGAAGGGGAAAGTCTCCTGCTTCCCAGAGTTCCTTGCCCGCTGAAGAACTGTCACCTAAAGCAGTACGGAGAGCAAGAGGAGAAAACTGGATGATTTTGATTCTTCAAACTGGTCCAACCACTAACGGCCTGCTACCTGCTTTAGATTGTACAGGATGAACCAGTGGAACTGCAGCATCCTACCAGAGCTGAAGTAGAGGTGTCAAGGATGACGTCTGTTGCCTGAGGCAGCTCTTTCTTGGACACCTGGATGGCCAGGCCTCCAGAGGCCACAGCCAGATCCTTGTAGTCTTCAAAGGAACCAGCACCGAGGGAACGACGACGCCTCCTACTGGCCGGGGTCAGCAGGAATAACACCTGTGGAGATTAGTTCGTGTGGAGATTAGACCCCCAGCTTTTCAAATTAAATTCACATAAATACACTGAGTGAACATTTGTCATCATTGGTGTTGGTCAGTATTTACTGTTGACTTGGTGCTCCTGATGAGAGCAAGAATCGTGTCCATGAGGGCGATGTCTTTGGGTGTAGCATCAGTGAAAACATAGATGTGGGAGGAGGCTGGGGCACCAGTGAGAGCCAGCTGGAGAAACAAAACCTGGTCAGTTCCCACATCACTACGGTCTCTCAGGGTACCTTAAAAATATCCAATCAACAACCATGCTAGTTACAATGTGATAATATATTAGCTTTAGTACCTGAAGTCCTGACAGACACAGCTCAGGGATATCTCCCCCTCCCTGTGCTGTAAGTTCAGAGATTTCTTTTTTCATCTTATCGGGGTCTGTTGTCCTGATCATCGGTCCAAAACCTACATAAAAAACCAAAAACTTTTTTTCAGATTTAATCCTACGGAAACACTGTGACTGTATGCAGATTTACAGTGTGCACCACAATTTACTTTATTTTTTATGTTTTAAAAGAGATTATTTACTAAAATATAACTAGTATTACAACTATACAGTCAAGCATTACATGTATAACATGCTATAGCATGGTTAGGGGTCTAATACTACTAATGGTTTCCTAAACATGATCAGAAGAGTAGAAGGGTTCATACTGGGGTCATTGAAGGGCACCAGGATGTACTCAGAGGGCTCATCCTGTGTTCCTTTTTTGCTGTCAATTATTTCGTAAACAACATCCCTGGCTTCATCAATGTCATCAGACATACTGCCAGTGGTGTCAATAACAAAGCACACGACCGATGAGCGGGCAATCCCCATCATTCTGCGAGAAAGAAAGAATGAATGTTTATTTTTATCCTATAGTACAATTTTTAGTATGCTTTCTTTCATTAATGCACAAGTGGATATTTTTCATATCTGACCGTCATACCTCAGAAAGTCATTGTCCCCAGCAGCTAAGCGGATGTCCTCCAGTAGCTGGAGACTTGCAGCGGTGGCTGCATTCACAGCAGCATTGTGGAAGGCCACGTTGTCAGAGCGATGCTCATCTTTGTTGATGCCACCACGAGGAACTGTTGTGCTAGTCAGGTCAGCTGCACCTCCATGGCTACATTTACCTGGCACAGGACAGAAGGGACAGGTCAAACTGGTTGTTGGTTCAAAATGATGTATAATGCTTTTGTGGGTAGATTGAACTTCCTGGTACAATTTAATTTTGTTTGTCTTGTACTCTAGGTCAGACAAACATGATTTTAAACACCTGGTTAATGAGTGGTGCATGTGAATTTTAATGCTTTATTACAGCCCATTAAATACTGGGGCAACTTGGATGTCTGAGTAGAGGTGATGTATGTTATTTATTGGTTAACCGTTATAGATTATCTATAGGGTGTGAAAGGATTAGTTTGACATTTTGGAAAATACACAAACTGTACAATAAATATGAAGCTACAGACGGCAGTAAGTTACCTTGGATTAGCATAAAGGCTGGAAACAGGGAAACAGCTCCAAAATAAATCGTAAATACGATGATGATCTCAGGAAGTGATTTTAAGAAGTGACTGCTAGATATTAAAAGCCCACATACGAGTGGCATTGATCTAAATTAATTACTTAATTCTAAATGTACATATCAGCATTCTAGCAACATAAAATATTATTTGTTCAACCTTCTTTAAATCACAGTAAGTCAAATAATTTATGGTTTTGTAATAATCTCATAAAAATGTTGACATGCTGGGGAAGTTAATGTCCTCCTTGAGGTCAGTTAAAACTGTTTGTATTTAATGTGATGGATTTTGAGGCTGCATCTGCACATGCTGTCATGGTAACTGTTGCCTTGTGTTCCTAATGAATGAATTAATATGGGGTTATGTATCTGAATGTGGTTTGGAGATATATCTGTCACTGATACCTTTAGGCTTGGCGGAAGAGTAGATTCCCATGTAGCCTGATGTGAGCTTCTTCTCATTCAGGATGTTGGGGAGAATGGAATTGGGACATGTTCCACTGGCACAGTCCCTGCAGGTGGCAGTGTTGACATCTACGCAAGCAAAGTGTGAACAAGAGACAGGATAAACAATACATTTGACTCCAGACCATTGCTTCACTTCATAACCTGACAGCTGCTGTTTGTGAGTACATCTTAAAATAATCCACAAAAATCTGCATGGTTGGTAGTGCTTTATTTTTCATAACATGATTTGGAGAGGATTATTCCACGTATACTACAGTCTCTTGTCAACAGTGAAATATGTGTAATGTTAACCTTGAAATAATTTTTATGACTAAAATGATTAGAAAATCAAGTAACAGCGTAGTAGTTCCAGCCAGTAATTTAGTTTAATTGTTATTAACTAATAGCAGTGGTTTGAAAATAATACACACCCACCAGCCAATCAGAATGGAGCCTTCTCCATGGCCATGGCATAAAGACAAAACAGCACACTCTGCTCTTTGGTCTATACATATTCCCAGATGTTTTACCAAACTACAATGAATGAATATTATCTACTTTATGACATTATACTCAACCCACAGAAATATAAACATAGTCCTCCAATGGAGATGACAAATACACTAATGCTCATACACACACCTGCCAGGTTTTCCAGTGGCTGATCTGGGCGAATGAGGTTGATGTATGGTTCTGTGTATCCCAGCTCCACCCAGTTACTGTGGCTGTAGAAGTCCTGACAACACATGGAAACACACACACATCCACACCTTTATACATACACATTTCATATTCAGTATTTGTACACACAGTAAAGTGAACATTTAAATCTTTTCTTCTGTTTTGTTTCTATTTTCACTTATTCTGCCTCCTTTAGCCTTCATCATTCTGTCTTCCAGTCTGTGCCTGATGGTTATTCCACTTTCTTTCTAATTTTTCATCTAAACTTCTCTATGCCTAGTTGCTCTCTCACCTGTAGTGTATGAAGAACTCTGCCCAGTGTTTCTCTGGCAGCCTGGAAGTTCTCCTTGCGAATGTTAGCCTTAATGGCCACCATTCCCTCCGTGATTAGGCCACGTCCCTGCAGGAATGCCTCTGAGTTGAAGTGGTGTGGAGCACTGAAACAATTTTTCACAAGCAGTAACTTGGTAAGTGTATGGGCAAATCATAAATCCTTGAATCTTTGCAACACACCTGTCCCATTATTTTACTGCTTTTTAATAACTGTTTTGTTTCAATCTTTTTCCCACCTATTGACATAGTGATAGTCTACCAGTCCATTCTGGTTGTAGATTTCTTGAAGAGCAGAGTGAAACTTGGCACCTGACACTTCTCCTTTTGCTGTGGGTCCAAGACAAGCCTGAACCAACTCCTCAGGAGAGGAACCCTGGAGACAG